CCGGAATCCTTATTTTGTGGTCCCACTCCCGTTCTAGTCCGGTCATGCGACAGACTACACCCCTAAGCATAGAACATTGCACATTAGCAAAAGATGTTGAATATGTTTGCTTAGGTTGTAATATAATTGTGGACTGAAAAACTAAACTTAATAACAACTTTCAAGAGAATTTTAGTTATAAGGATTTTTAGCCATTGGAAAAAAGAGTTTTGTGAGCATAATTGTTCCCATAAATTGTATGTGGACTAATGGTCTTGTAAAAAATGGGAGTAGATTAAAAAACTTCATTTCAATTTTTCAGTTTTCACTTTTTGGTGTAAAAACAATTTCAGTCTAGTAAAAGAAAAAAAATGTATAGGTCATATAAACGTTAAGAGACGTGGTAAGAAAACATATATGGGTAAAACTACTCTTACTCCAGTACATATATGATGGTAGGGATATAAAACTACATTTCAGTTTTCATTTTCCAATTGGCAGTGAACAAACAATTTCAGTTTATAAACAAAATCATCGAGGGGACAAAAATGTTAAGAAAGCATGTTATAAAACATATCTAAGTATATGGTGTACTCTTACCCAAAATCTATCAGTCTGAAACTTTGAGCCACTTAAATGTTCTTGTACAACAACCATGGACACAATGAAAAGACCTCACTTTGATACTATATGTGAGAGCAGAAAATACAACGATGCGTACAAAAGGGTTGGAAAATACAGAGAGCTGAGTGTTCTATGAGCCTAGTCGTGCTACAGGCACGATTTTGTAAACTAATCTATAAAAAATTATAAGTATAATGAAGTACACAAAGCCAAATCACTCTGTAACATTGTAATAAAAAAATCAGTTTGGTGTTGTCATTGTACGTTCTACAATCCAAGAGTGGAGTTTTTATGTAGTTTATAGTTAAAGTAGTACTCTGTATGAAATATCAGACAATTCATAGCTAAAATGCTATGTAACATGAGGTCTTAGTATGTAATGTTAATGATAAGCCTCGTCCCACCCCATTCTTGGGAAAACCAATGTAATTAAATTGAAGTAGCACGTCTTCTTGTTTCTTTATAAGAACTTATCTCACTTAAACTGTAGAATGTAGGGGATTTGATAAGATAGCATATACAAATATGATGGATTTATCAAAAATACAAATTGACAGATATAAAACGAAAAATATATATTATGTATAACACTAAGAGAAGTAATAGACTTACGGAGTAAAGATGCAATCACTACTTACCTCTTTCAGCTACCAAGCAAAATATAATGAAGAAAATTTGAAAAGGAATAGTGCAAAAAATACATTTTTAGTATTGAAATAAAATATAAAATCAAATACGTAGTAGATTACATTTGATATTGGGATGTAAATATACTTTGTATAATATAAGAGGGTTTAACAATAGCTAAAAGGCAAGACGTGAGACAGGCCATTCAGGAGAATTTAGAAAGCTTCAATTGGATTCCTCTTCATCATAAAACCTTTGCAGCTCATCCCTTAAAAAACAATACTTTATTTATAAATAATTCGAATCCCTAAATGAATACAAGAAATTAGTTGTAGGGTGAAGTTAACACTCAAATCTGAAAGAGTTCAGAGAATGAATATAAAATTAGGGGCATTTGAAGAAATAAATACGATTTAGATGTTCAGATTTAGAGTAAAATATGTAACACTAAACAAATCGCACACAGGGGCTGAAATAAGTATTACCTTGAATGATGGTTTCAAATATATGCTTGGGATGAACGGCGAAAACGTAAGAAGTGGGTGGGGAGAAGATGAAGGGAAAATGGAAGGTGAAGAACAGACTCGTCGGTGTTTCTATAATTCGAATGGGTTGAGGTCGTAGTGGTTAAGCCGGACAAACTGGCTTTAATGGGCCAAACATCTAACCGCAACCCAGCCCTCGATTGAGGTATCCTAACAGAAGTTAACGAACCGGTGCAGACGTCAGAAACGATTGAATTAAATCCATGATAAAGTACAATGTCTTAAGCTTGTGATACACCTTCATGAAGCTTTGAGTACCACGAACAAATATTTCTTACCCAATATAACCCTACCCCTATTCATGTTTATAATATTGTAGAGATTCTTAAGATGAAATAATTAAGCATTTATGCCTCCAAAATAGGGCGCAAAGGGGTGATGGGAAATGCTTAATTATCTGCTAGAAAATTTGGGAGGTTATCATAATATTGTACGCTATCGTATAAAACTTGAGGAGCAACAATTTTTAGAAGGTAAAAATTTAATAAAAGTAAAAAAAAAAGGTAGGGGCCAAGACCCCCTAACCGTTTGCATGCCTCCGCCTCAGTTTTGCAGGATATAGGTTTTATTTTGGGAGTCCTACCACTGAAACCATTCACACCGAAAGTCAATAAGTTATCATTCTTCAGGAATAAAGGTTAAGAAGCGTGATGTATCATCATGTATGCCATAAGCACCACTTTACACGAATAAATGTTGAGTAGTTTGTGATTGAAGTCCAATTTACCTCCTCCTAGATTACGGTTTGGCCGGTGCTGAAGAACACTCGGGATGAGTATCATCCTTTATTTTTTCCACAAACAAGCTAAGTGGTTAGTATTAATTATTTTATTTCATGTGATTAGACATTATATTAACATAAGTGAAGTATTTTTCTTTATAAGGTTTAATATTTCCAATTTTATTACAATGATGTGCTCGACATTCCGCCACTTCAGAGCCAAAATAACCATTGTTATTTCTCAAACACGCAATCCAAAGATACACATACTTATAAACTCACTCAAAAAAACATTTTTCAATGCTTTCTCCCACTTTGATGGATATAATGAAGCATGTTCACACATGGATTTGATCCTAGAGAGAGTATAGAGTTTGGGAATGAACAACGAATTTGGTTTTTTTGTTAATAGTTGATAGTGAGAGTTGCTCTTCTTACTTATAATTATGTCATATTAATATACTATGTATTATGTAATAGAAATGTTTTTCTAACTACTTTCTTGCTTCTTCAATTATTTGTATTATAAATGTATAAATTAGGGAGATTTCAAAGAACTTTGAGATTGTATTCTCATGAAAATTTGATACAAGGTTCTCAACATTTCATTTTAGGGATCATATTGCAATAACAATGATACATTTTTTTAAATCATGCGATGTACATGAATCATGCATCATGCAATAGATAACTAGTAGGGATTAAAGTAAAAATATTATTGTCTTGTTATTACGCACGGAGTATGTTGAAATAGATAATAAAAGTCCTCCCTAAAATGACATGCTCATTAATAATCTTGTTATTAATATAGAATCACACATATATTTACTCTCATCATGTCCCTAAAAAGCACTCCGTAAATATCCGTCCATGGTGATTAGTATTGTACTCCCACATTAAAAAACAATGTGAACATCGAGTAGAATTGTGTTCAGATTCAGGCTTGATATATAAGAGGAATGCTCAGGTCCAACAGGAGGGACGGGAGCTGCCGTCTGAACATTGACGTTTGGGGCGGTTCCTGGTGAATTTTTTTTATAATTTTTTTTAGCATGTTCATCATCAAGTCTAGTTTATCCATACCAAATTTCAGCACAAAATTCGACTGGGAAGGCATTCAAATCATTTTTTGAAGTTGACTGCGCCAAAATATATATATAAAAACGCAGTCAACTTCAAAAACTGATTTGACTGCCTTCCCGATCGAATTTTGAGCTGAAATTGGGTATGGATAAACTAGACTTGATGAGGAACATGCTAAAAAAATTTCATCAACAAATTAGATCGAGAACCGCCCCAAACGGCGGATTTCGGACGGCTGCCGGACAGAAGAGGGCTGGACCTGATCTTTTCTATGATATATAATACTTACATCTTTTGGATCAGGTCGTATCAGGCCGGCCTGACGGGAACCGCCGTCAGACCGAAGACATTTGGGGACCTTCCCGGTAGAATTTTATGATGAAATGTTTTGAGCATGTTCCTCATCAAGTCTAGTTTATCCATACCAAAGTTCAGCTAAAAATCCAATCGAGAAGGCAGTCAAAAAAATTCCCTACTAAAACTGTGCATTATTTCATGAAAAATTCCACCGGGAAGGGCCTCTGATGGCCTCGGCCTGACGGCGGTTTCCGTCAGGCCGGCCTGACAGGATCAAGACTCTTTATTGGAATATGAGTACAATTTTATATCTTCTATGTTGTATCTATCTGTGAGAGTCGGATCCTTTATGAAAATTAAATAGGGACAATTAAAATTTAGGCCTTGTACACCTGGATCAGATAAAGATAGTAGAATTAAATATGAAATGATTTTATATTAATCTATAAATAATTTATATTTAAAAGAGTTGAATATTTTTGAAAGTAAAAGAGTTGAACTTAAAATTCGAGATTTAAATAATAACACTGGAATAACTAACTAATTCTCTTATTAATACAGAGAGTACTTATCTGACGATTTTGAGAATTTTCATATAAAAGCTGCGGCACTCAGATTATTATATTTCATTTATAAATATTATGTTATTTTTTATTACCTTTTCATCATAATAAATTGTGTTACAATTTTGATAGCTTACAAAATTGTATATATTTCTGTTATTTCTTTCTAGGTGGAATATTAAACATCATCAAGACCTGAAAAATCTTTAACTATAGAACACAAAAGATGGATGTGGTGGGTCTTGGCTATATGTCTGGACCTATTTTTCCCCAACTAATACGTTTTTATCTGAACTTATGAGTTCCCACCTAACCTGATTCATTCAATATGTTCACCCGTTGGAATATATACCTTTATTTATGAAGTAAGTTTAGATTATTATTATATGTGGATTATTTTTTTCTTGCACTAAATTTCTAGGCGAATTACCAAACAAGATTGGAATGTAATGACACAGAGTCATCATCTTTGATATATTGATATTAATTTTTGTTCAAACAAAAAATGATGTGTTGAAACCATCTATGTGAATGACATATTGACAAATTCTTAGACTCAACCCGAATAATAGTCGTTGCATAAGCTGTGTCCTTATAATTCACAAAAACATAACATGAGTACATTGTACACTTGCGCATTGTATTTGTTAGAAACATCTTGCCTTTCACTTGGCAGCTCTATAATGAAAATGAAAGTAAAACCATGTGGAAAAGGAAATTAGATAGAAGAATAAAAATGAAGACCATTTATTGACATATGATAGCTGAATTGGTTATGTTATGATTCACCAATGAACTTAATAACATATATATCATATCAACATCTTTTTCTCTCTCCACCATTTACAATTTTACATCACCGCTTCCAAAGCTTGTTTGAGAAAATCCTCTTTGAATAAGGGTTGTTTCCGGTGATTGCCTTATGGGATTCGATCGCCTCGATTAGTAAGCTATGTAGACATCCCTAATTAAAGTATAACGAGGTAAGAACATTGAGAAATAGAACACACGAGATGAGTATATGATGCACGAGTTCAACTAGCTCTCATTTTGATCATTATGTGTAATTAGTACCTCGGATGTCCGAAGAGCTGTTTGAATAACATAATTTGCATGAGGGTCTTGAAGCAACCGCTCAAAGTGAGTTGTAGAGATGAGTTCATGGACTATCTTTGACTTGACCTTATAGTCGCATTCAACAAGACATTTTTCAACCACATGGCTGCTGAACTTTTGTGTGGAGAGATGTACAAAGTTTCCCTCAAAGTGAGATATTAACTTTGATATTGCAGATGGAATCTTGAGCTCCAAAATGAATTGAACAACATAATTTCTGTCCCCAATCAGAAAGAATTTGAAAAGAAAGTGATCAGTTAAGCTGTAAAAATAAGGACAACAAACAAATAAGGTTTGGGTTTCTATTTAAAAGTCAACCTAATTGAGCTAATTAACTAAATGATTTTACGTAGAATGTGAGCATGTATTTTTATATTTTAATTGTATGTGATAATGTGATGCTCTAACATTGAAGAATTTTTTATGTGCATTGAAAACTAAGAGCAACAAGCATTTGTTGGAACAAAAGTGTTAATTTAGTCACCCAAAAGCATCATGAGCTAGAAGAAATCCATTGGAAGAGATCTCTGCAATCAATCTTTCCCGATGATTTCCAATCCCGTGGGTGATGCATCTTTGAAGAACGTAACAACCGTGTTGATGTGTTGCAATATCCACACAATGCTTTGCAGCTGCAACAAATATAAACTACACCAAAAAATGTGGAATACAAGTTAGAAACACAATAAACTAGAGTAGTAAATTAATTTGTTGTCACAAACTTTTATTAACTAGCAGAAAAAAGCAACACTATCTCTGTGTTTCCTTCCCGACCATAATGACATGCCATTTAAACTTTCTTGACCAAAGTTGTTACATTTTGACCAATAATATATTTTTATACAAGTGATTTATAATTTGTAAAAATGTTATTCATTTGTTAAAAGAATTCTTATAGAGGTACAAAACTTATGACTTTCATTAGAATATACTAAGTATTGATTAAAAGCATTAGTCAAGTTTAAACAACCTAGAAATTAAAGTAATAAATGTCAAATCATTATGGGAAAGGGCTAGTATTGTAGTATAACAGTTCCGATAAAATTACCTTAGTGTCTTCATTTGGAAGATACTGCAAACATCTTTGAATAACATGATTACCGTTCAAGTCCTTAATAAGTGAAAGAAATCCCGGTTCAAGTGATGAAATGATCAATGAGATCTGTTCCCTGGTTTTTAATGTCTCAATCAACTTCTGAACTACTCTTGTCCTAATATAAAAAAAATGAAAACTTTTATATGTTAGTAATAATGAATCAAAATGAAAAGAGCATATTGGAAAGAATAAATTATAACACTATATACCCGTGAGTATTCAAAGATATCCCAACAATCTGGCTAGGCTCTTCTGTCACCCTATGAAGTATTTCCATCCTTTGTTCTTCATTGCACACTTCCAACAACTTTTGGATGAGGTAGTTCCCAAAAGGATTCATCATAAGCTCAACAACGTGATCTATTATCGCGTTGCAAATAACGAGCACATCTTGGGGACTTCCCACATCAAACATTCTTTGCAAGAACCGGCAACCTTGTTGATCCTTCGCTATATGATAAATATACCCTTTAGCTTCTCTGAATGAAGAAAGCTTTAGTGGGAGAGAGGAAGGGAAAGAGCACATCCTCTCAGTTCCACCACATTCTCGAAAACCTTTGACTGGTGAAAACCTCTTTTCTTGAGGCCTAAGAAAACGGTGATGTCCCTTGCCTGTTTCATCAATCAAATTGGCTTCCCAATCAAATACCTCAAGCTTTCTCATAATAGGTATTTTTACACATGAAGAATGCGCCTTGTACCTCCTTCCATTTTCTGAGCCCATACAAGAGTTTAGGTGAGGAACTTTAGGTAGATTGTTGGAAGAATTTTCAATAGCATAAGCTCCATATCGCGGGAGATCAGAAATACCATTACTGCTTGTAACATCATTTGGTAAGTCCACTAGTGGAATTCCAATATGATGGATATGATATTTTATATCCATTTTATTTCCGGGCCCACCATTATTATATGCCATTGGAGAGGTCAGATGACCAAGAACACCTAGGTTATCATGTCTCGTTATACCATAAAAGCTCTCATGCATACTATGATGATCAGAAGCAAAATATTTGTTGGAAATCATTCTCACATTTTTTCTATTTGAGTAATTGTGAGACCAGAAAGTAGCAGTGGGGCTACTTGAAGCAACACTCTCTTGCTCCACCTCATTAAGTTGCATTGTACTGAGACTCCTTGATAGATTTAGTTCACAAAAATTACTCGTATTATTACCATCATCATGATGATAATAATCGGGGTCGATCCTCAATTTATTTATATTATCAGAAGTATTTCTATAATGATATTGAGATTTAATTACATCTTCAAATGAGGATAGAGTGGGAGATCCACCTGATAACAAGCTTGAAGAAGATCCATCCGATTTTAAGGAAAATCCACTTACAAGGGAGACCCATGAGTGATGTTCATACAAACAATTCTCAATCAATTTTTGCTGCACATCTGATCCACTGCCGTGATCATACTCATAACAGACGCCATTAATGCTATTTGGATGATCAAAGCATGTTACATGAGGGATCTCATCCAACAACATCTCAAGCTCCTCATCATCCTTCATTTTCACTCTCTCAAACATAATAACATCAAATCAAACTAAAATTATACTTCTAAATATTACAAAATCCATGGATTACATATTACTGATAAATTACATTATTATCCCAGAGGAAAAAACAACCAGATCAAATCATCAGTGCGGACATACACACTACTGATCAAAATACAAAAAAAAAGGACGGGAATCACTTACCCATTTGAAATCAACTATATACTGAAACTTCGACTTATGAGATCACATTGGAATGTTAATGGAGGGAAGGATGTGTTTGTGATTCTATTTAATCACAGTTCTGCTATGCACTTTTGTTGTGTGTGAGTTTATTTTCTTTTCTTAAATTTCTTGTGTGCAATTGTTTGTTTCAACTCAATTTGGATTCTGGGGTTTCTTTATGAAGAGTTGGTGGAGCATGCAAAGATGAATGGATTGGAAATGGATATAAATACAGAGCCTACTATACGTATTGCATATATCTATGTACTTAATTACTCACACTCTTATGTATGGTGTCATGTCATTGAAGCTTGAAAAAAAGGAACAACCTTTCTTCTCTCTCCACTCCACCCTCATTTTATACTCATGTGTGTATTAGAGTCAATCTAATTAATAAGAGTACGTCAATATTTCAGCCAAAAAAAGTACGTCAATATTTTTATCATAAAAGTCGTAAAAGGAGATAAATAAATAATTTCATATCATATTATTATTTCTTTGTTTTGAAGGTTCCAACTAATTATGACTTGTGATAAATAAAAGTTGCAACTATTTTTTAAATCAGTGTCAAATATGGGCATCATATATTGTCCAAAAATCTATAATAAATTTGTCAATGGCATGTAATGAGTTTCATTGTACACAAGAAAAGGCTCTAATAAGTTACAATTATATTTTACTACATATTAGTCTATTTGTCATTATGCAAACCTTTTTCCTTTTGGTTTCTCCCAATATAAACTATTTTTTATTTATTGATAATCATTCATTGTTTCTCATATTATTTCTACTTCTAATAACCATACAATTTTGACTTTCTAACTTAAGTGTCACACTATAGTGAGAGATAATGATGAGACGGTGAGAGAATGACAAATCCCTATTTTCCAAACATTAAGTAGAGCATATGACGAGGGATGGATCGCTAGTTTATAACCATGAGTGATGAATTTTCATTAGCATTCTACATTAGATTTAAAAGAAGAGTTTTCTTTAGATATACAATATTGAAGTCCAATATTAAAACAAGAGACAACATCTACATATAGATTAGATATGACTAACAAGATAATATTGAAAAATACACATGTCACTATCAAACTATTATGTCACCATTAGTTTTTTAAGTTGTTGCTAGCTTATTTATTACGTATTTAAGTCAATGTCAGTTAGTGTTATTGTCATTGTTGTCGTTGTGACAGTCCGAAATTTTTCCCAATGGTTAAAAAATGAAAGAAGTGAAGTAGCTTCTGCTTTTTTGAGTGATTTTTCAAGTGATTATATTCTCGGTGGCAATTCCCATCAAAGCTAAGTCGTTGTCGATGGTTGTCAAAAGCGACAGTGAGACAGTGAGAGGGGCGGCTATTGGGTAGGGATTAGAGGGAGGGGAATTTAAATTAACTAAATATAATTTAAACGCATTTTTGAGAAAAGATGATCATATTTTATCCTTTAAAAATGAGGATTTTAATAAAATATTACCTATAAAATTTATGGACGAAATGTGACTATAAGATACTATGTGTAAGTTTTAGTCACTATGATATAACAATTGAATAGTCTACCAATGTAAGTTTTATCCATTATAGTCACTAAGTTACTAGGGTCATTTTTGTCCACTACTTTTAATTTGGTTATATATTTCAAATTATTTCTTAATAATCTAGCAATAATATTAATGTCATTTATCCTAAAAATGTCACACTTTAGATTCACACAATGATATAACAATAACAACAACAACAACTCAGTTCCTCTAATATAGGTGCTCTAAGTAGATAAAGGATGTCTTTAGTTGGACCAGTATCAACCTCAAACCAAATCAGATCAGATCAGACTTAATAGATTAAACCTGACGTGACTTATGATGTTTTTACTTAGACTTGTTTCAGAATGTTTTTGATTAAATTGAAACTTTCTAGTCTATCTGGTATATTAATTCTAGTCTGAATTGATTTGGTTTGCAGCTAGTCATTGATTTGTGCCCCTATTAATGCACTTTGGCATGAGAACTAATGTCTACCTATTAATGCACTTTGGCATGAGAACTAATGTCTACCTATTAATGCACTTTGGCATGAGAACTAATGTCTACCCATAATAGTCGTCTCTATCAACGGACAACTCCGTATGCTAGTGCATACTTATACGTGTGACAAGCCCTGCATATTGATATACGGAGTATATTTAAATCTGTAATGGATTTGTAAATATACTCTCGAGCTAATAACTATTTTTATTACTCCGTAATATTTACTACGTAGTAATTTGTAATATATTTATTTATTTATTTATTTTATTTTTACTACAATATCTAAATGATTTATTTTTATTATTACTACGTAACACCTAATATGCACGAACTTTTAAAATCTATTCGCAAGCCACCATTTATTTTGGGAATTATCCCCTTATTTTTATGGAGTATCTATGTTTTGGACTTTTGGTTTGTTAAATGGACGGCCACACATGCTTAAGGGCCGTTTTCTTTGTACAACGCTCCTGGACCGACCGACACGTGTACCGGTGTAAACGACGTGGACCAACGGGGTGACGGAAACAGATCGTATCTCCACCGGCATTCTCGTCCACTAATTTGATGCCCACCCAACCCCGAGAAGAACGCTCAGCCGCCTCAATTTTCATCCGTACGACACGTGGCGCCCATCGACGCCACAAATTAGATTACAGTCTGTTCAAAGAAAACAATTCCCTAGGAAATAGCAGCCATCTTTTTCCCCCCACCTCTGTTTTCGCTCTCCGTACAAGTCCAGAAGAACACCCTAGATTCGCATTTCCGAGGGCCGAATTAGGGTATCTTTGTCGGCGGGAAGTGTTGGGTACCTGTAAAGTTGGCGGTTTCCCGGCGAGTTTTCGGTTATCAGTTTTCTCCGGTGAGTTTCCAGCAAGATCTTGGACAGTACTAAGGTTTAGCTGAACATAACAGTTTTCTTTTGAATCTAAAGTAACTATTGTGGTTGAATTTTATCTCTTTGTCATGAATTTATGTTGGAAGCTTTGAAGTATGTTTTTGAGTAGCTGGGAGATGCTTTGATTCTGCTGTTCTGTATATTCTGTTTAAAAGAAGAAATCAGATTGTTTTTTAATCGGATTGATATTTGTTTTGGATTAATAGATCGGTTAGTTGGAGTTTCTGTACTAGGTCTAATACTTTTTTGACTTTTTCTTTACCCTGTCGGCTGATTTGGGGGATGTAGGATAAAGGATTAAAGGGGAGGACCTGGGTTCTTGATGTGATATCAAACAAGAGTTCTGCATACAATTTGACTGCTTGTTGAAGGAATTGAAAGATGTCAGATTTGTGCTCCTATGAGGTAGGGACTTTCGGTTTTAGCACAAGAAAATAAAATAGAAATTGCTCCCAATTTTTTTTTTAAATCACAAACAAATTACTGCACCATTGTATCCTTTACAGGAGTTTATTGGTTCCGATAATCCGATGCATTTTTCTTCCAAACAATTTTCTGAATTTGCGGTGTGTTTAGATATGTGTTTGCTCCCTTGTTTATATGTAAAACTATCAATTTGGTCCTAGTACTATCACAAAGACGTCAATTGAGTTCTAATACTTAAAAAAATGAGGTAAAGGTCAATTGAGTATATCAACTTGTATGAGATGGAGTAAAGAGTACATCATATTGCATTCGATCTATTTAAGTACACAAACTCGATTTTGTAGTGTTAATTGAGTACACCCATTAGATTAACACGTTAATACGACTGAGTTTGCTAACAAAATGCTAATAGATCGACTTCCCCTTGATCGACGTCAATCATCTGCAGGTTGACTTCCCCTTGGTCAATGCACCCCCGCTGGATGACGCCCCCGCCCCCACCCCCCATAGGTCGACCTCCGAAGGTTGATTTTCTCTTTTTGGTCGACTCCGAAGGTTGGCGCCATAATCTTGGTTCATTATCCCTTCTTACTCCGCATTCTGTTAGCAAACTCAGTCATATTAACATGTTAATCTTACGAGTGTACTCAATTAGCACTAAATATCCAAGTTTGTGTACTTAAAAAGATCAAATGCAATATAGTGTACTCTTTACTCCACCTCATACAAGTTGATGTACTTTGAAAAAACTTTCAATTGAGTCAATTAGCGGGTTACCTTCCATGTCAGTAGGTCGCCCGCTGATGTGGCGCACACACGACGATCCATGTGTGCGCCGCGTCATTGGGAAATGGCTCTTCCACGTGAGCGCCACGTCAACAAAGTCATTGCTAAATGTGCTGCCACATCAGCATGTGCCTTGGTGACGTGGTGGGTAACCTGCTAATTGACTCGATTGAACGTTTTTCCAAAGTTCGAGGATTTGTTTGATTTTTTTAAAAGTACGAGGACTTAATTGACGTTTTCGTGATAGTAAAAGGACCAAATTGATAATTTTCCCTTGTTTATATGTAAACCCGGACACTATCCTGGTCGTACACTCTACTCTCTGATATAGGTTTCTCTCGGTCTTTAAGCCATGATTTCTGGAGTTATGACAGCTAAATTTCTGTTACATGTCTTACAGATTGAAGATGCAGCGTGGGATGATTTTTGCCGAAGTGGTGACCATATAGTACCACCAAATCCTTGTGGTCCATCAGCTGATGAGCATCAACTCCAGGGTGCTAATCATAAGAAACCACGGCATGAGATATCCTCGACAGGATATGCTAAGAAGCCAAAGGAACAAGACGAGAATAACTGTAGGATGAAGCTGTTGGCAGAAGGGTCTTGGTGTGATGCACCAAGTCATGTATTTCCTACTTCACACCAGAGCGACACAGTCAACAGAGTGTCAAACTTATCATCTGAAAGCAACACCATGGAGTCAATTGGAAGGGATTTTTGTGAAACTGGTCATATTCTTGATGACCAAAAGGCAGGGGTTGATGGGAACTCTAATAGCTATCAGTTTTTCTTGGATGATGATAATGACGAGAAAAATGGTAGCGATACTTTAGAGTACGGATGGCCTGAAATAGGGAACTTTGAAGACGTTGACAGAATGTTTAGGTAACCTTACTTTTTAAGTGAAAAAATGGTTCCATTGTATTCGAATGCACCAGCTATAGTATAACTTATTGATATTATCTTGCAGAAATTGCGATTCCACATTTGGACATGCAACCAGTGATAGCGATGGTGATATATC